AGGGACGGCACGGCGGCCAACGGGGCCCGGCATGGTGGGCATGGTCTGGGTGAAGGACCAGGCTGAGAGGGACAGCTGGGGGGCGTTTGGGTATACGGAGCATCTGGCGTATTTGGGCGTACCGATTGGAGGGGTTCCTTTGGGTGAGCTGGTATGTGAAAATAGACGCTGAGGATCCACGATGGAATCAAAGCTGAGGATAGACGCCGAGAAGCGACGCTGAGGACGGCGAGGCTGGTCTTGGGATTGCAATAGCATGAGCGGGCGATTGGCGGCGCATCAGCCGGGTGTTCATGACATGAGCTATGTATGATAGTACTGTTTACGAAAGTTGCTCTGAGCTTGAGGGCCTGAACTGCCCGTACGGCCGGTTGTCCACCAACCCTCTTTTGTCTCTGCCAGCGTGTCTGTGATCGTTGTGTGGTAAAGTCATTGCCTTTCGTCACGGGCCCTGTTATAGCCTTTAATTGACACTGAAATAATTCAAGACTGAGGCCGACGTTCCCGTCCTGGAGCTTTCTGACGCCAAGGACAGCAGCTCACCAACTGCCTAATACACAGCAAAACACGGCGACACAGCAAAAGGTATGCTTCCGAACCAGGGAATCGAACCCTGAGCCTGACGGTGAGAGCGTCAAATGTTAGCCATTACACCAGTTCGGATGTTAATGGCTTCGGGCGCGCGAGCCAAATCCATGGCGGGGGGAAGCAGAGATTGCGGAGGGGCTACAGTGAGGGGCGTGAAGGATCTGACATCGGGAGCTCCATTTGTAAACCCACCAAAGGCACTATGGGTGATCCCGACTAGCATGCTACTAGACGGCGACTATCGACATGCGGGAAAAGTGCCAAGATATATCTTTTGATGCCACTGTCGTGCTGTTCTGTGTTTGAACTTAAGATTCTCGACGAGAAACAGCGTCGTGTGCGGAAAGGCTGTCTGCCAGCCGGATGATCTCCAATTAACAAAGTGACCTGGGCACGTCACATCATGATTGGGTAATTGGAATCTCCTATTGGGAATGGCTGGTGACGACGGATCGGTGCTAAATCCAAGCGGGGATGCCGAGGTATACCATCCACATCAGTGGCATCCATTGACGGGATCAATAAGCGTGTATTCGAGGAAATGCTACAGTGACCATCGCCAGGCGACGCTCGGGAACATGAAATGAACGAGCCCACGAATTCTAAAGACGCAGAGACGGATTGCAAAGGTATGCA